ACCAGCAGGTATCCTCCACTAGGGTGAAGTGCAGACTATGGCATTGGTGACTACCTTATTGGAACAGGTACTGTAAGGTCTTGACTCAAAGGGTTCATTTCAGTATGGGAGACCTTCACTATATATTAGTGGGTCATTCAAGTTCTCAGGAGAGAATTGGTCATTCAGTTAATGTCTCCTCCTCCTCCATTGTCTCTCATACCGGTTGGCTTTCCACTTCCCAAGGACCTTCTCTCATCTAGCCATTGAATTCAAGCCATCCAGAATCTTCTGCACAAAACAGTCATAGTGAGTTGACTCCTCTCTTGAGGGTTTTTAATCACAACTGTTTGTAGTACCAAAAAAGATGGGTGAATGGTAATCTGTCATCAACCTTTCTCATCTCAATCACTTCCTTCAGCCTCCTTGGTTTACATTGGACTTGTTTTTGCCCTTTCAGTGGCTCTTTTCACCCGGTCTATAGAGGACAAAATTCGATGTCGCAAATGCCTACCTTCATATTCCGGTCAAGAAGTCTTCATGGTGGTATCTCCATTTCTTGCACAATGAACAGTTTTTTGAGATTTGTGTGCTTCCACTTGGCCTTGCATTGGCCCTTTCATTTTTTGCTGGATAGTAAGATTTTTTTCACATCATCTTACTCATTGGGCATTCATATTCATCATTACGTGGAAGACTGGCTTATTGTTGCTCCTTCCTGCCATTTGGCAGAACTTCACACTCAAACTCTGTTATCAGAAGCTGTGAGAGCTGGGTTTCTTATCAAAAAGGAAAAACGTATTTTTACTCCCACACAGTATTTCCTCCATGTAGGTGTGTTTTTCAGTTCTAGATTAAGTCAGGCCCAACCTTCTCCTTTATGCCTTCAGGCCATGGAATGGGTAGTCCTTCAAATACAGTTGTCTCCTTCTCCACCAGCACATGCAGATCTATCTCATTTTGGAATGTGTCCATCCTTGGAATCACTCATTCCTTTAGGCTGGGCTCACATGGAGGCCCTTCAGTGGTCTTTACAAGACCAATGGACCAGATGCACTGGATTGTCAGGTAGTCCTGTCGGATTCCAGTTTACAAGATCTTGGCTAATTGTTGGACAAGGACAACACTAAAGTTGGTGTCCTCTACCACCCCCACATCCAGAGATACATCTTTACACATATGCTTTTCTCCAGGGCTGGGGCGCTTGTAATGAGAGGGTCTCGAATTGTTGGGAGGGAAGGTGGTAATGCTTTACTCAGATAATTCCACAGTTGTCTCATACATTTCAAAGCAAGCAATGGAACACTCACTCCAGATATTTTTGCTTTCAAACATTGGATCTTCTGTTATAGGCACACAAACATCAGATTGTTCTCCTTGCTAGTCATATTCCAGGATAATGAATTTAGTGGCCGACCAGTTATCTTATCCCAACAGAGCTCTTCCCACAGAATGGATGCTTTATCCTCAGCATTTTCGTCTGATCTGTTCTTGTCTCAAAACATCTGAGATCAAGGCTTTTGTCACACATTGGAATGCTCAGCTCTCATCTTTCTGGTCTGTTGTACCTCACCTTCTGGCTTTGGGCATAGGTGCTCTCAGACAGGATTGGGAGGGGTCTTCATTTTTATGCATTCCCTCTGATTTGTGTATTATTCGAGGTTCTTGCTCCACATCCTGTTGAATTCTTCTGATGGCAACACATTGGTCAGATTAACCTTGGTTTCCACTCCTCCATTATCTTCAGGAATTTCAACCTTTTCCCCTTCCTCTCTGGCCATCTCTCTTACATCAGCCTTGGTCAGACATTTTTCATCTGGCAGTCAGTGTTCTTTGACTTCAAACCTGGCTTTTATGCGGTCCATCACACAACATCTGGGATTGACTTCTTGGATGGTGTCCTTTTTTAACATGGTCCTTGCAGCATTCATCTTTGGAAGTTTAGCAATGGAAATGGTTTACTTATCATCAGTAGTCTCTGAGACATAGGTTTAACCCTTCTTGTGCCACATGTCTCTCCATTTTGACAAAGGTTTAGTGCCTTTGTCTATTGCCCTGTATAAGGCTGCTTTATGGGCTACCTTTTGTTTTTCTAAGAGAAGAAAAGTGTATAAGTCCCCAGTTTTGTCATTACTTTGGAAATATTTTTCAGTTATTCATGCTCGTTGTCCTTTCCAGGTTCCTAATTGGGATATCACAGTGGTTCTCATGCCTTATCTTATCCATCTTTTGAACCTTTGGGTCATGTTCACTGTATCACCTTTCACTTAAGGCTTATTTTCTTCTGTTATTGGCTAGTGGGCATTGATGTTCAGAGTGTTTGTACTTCATGTTCACGGGACTCTACCAATTCACTTATATTATGTTGTATCCAGACAGGTCTTTTCTATTCAAAACTTCAGCAGCTAGAGAATGAGATAAGGCTTTCTTTCCTATTTATCTCCTCTCCATTTCACATTTTTATGACCTCTATCCCACATCTGGATTGTCTTTTATATTCTGTTCAGGCTCTCTGATGTTATGTTACATGCACTGAAGTGTTTCAGGCTCACGTCACCATTTGTTTATACCTTGGGATCCTACTGTCTCACGTGACTTATCCTCTGTCACTTTTACAGGTTGGTTCAGTTGGTTCATATGGCTTACTCTGGACTTTAATTGGGAGAGCATAGACATCTTCTCATCTTATCAAGTCGACATGTCCCTGACAGCTCGGTTTTGTCACCCACTAAAGGAAATTGTACAGGCTGGTATGTAGACCACACCTAACACCTTCATATCACACTATTTACATGACTTAGTGTTTTCCTCCTTTGATGAGTTTTACCAACCTCCCCATCCCATGGCTATTCTCCATGCCCTGACTCGATTGTGACAGTAGTGAGTGACTTCATTTCTTCTGCATTATTCTATTCATTTTCAGGGACATCTTATCATTATCATTTGGATCCCACTCAGTGGCAAGTATTGCCTGATCAGGTATGCTTTATCCAAATCCACAGTACCTACCAGCAGACTAATAAATAAAATTCCTGGAAGCAATGAGCTCTGTTGAGATGGGATGTTCCATAAGAACACCTTGGCATTTTCTGGGAGGTACACAATTATTCAGTACCAGACATAACATACAATACTGTACCATCACTCAATGACTATCCTGAGTAAAATATAAAGGGATTTGCCCATTCCTGCTGAATTCCTAGATTTGCTTTTGAAAATAGGGAACTTCATTCACCTATTGCATTGTCTAAGGAGCATCATTCCTCAGGACTTCCCAATGCAAATTCTTCCTCCATTTCTCCATAGTAGAGCACGGGAGTCCTAACAACTCCAAGATTCCAGTCACTGGAGTGGTGTATAGAGGTCTATTCCTCCTGAGTGTTGTTTGAGCACTTTATTCCACTCACAGAGAAGAGGGCAAAGCTGGATACTCTCCCAACCATAACCCTGGATGGTTTTCGCAGATCTCTGGTGGAAGTAGGACCAGCCTATGTGGGAGCCTCCTCATAATTCCAGTACAGAGATGACACTTTGCTATCCGGTTGTGTTGAGAGTGTCCATTCTTTTTGGTCATTATATTACTTTTCATGATCATGGAAGAGGGTCCTCAACTCCTTGTAATTCTGTATGTTCAGTTTGTTGCGTTTAGTGCTTCTTCAAGTTAGGGGGAAAGCTTGTCCACTTGGGTGTTGCTTACCTTCTCTTTGTAATTCTGGTGGCTCACATGCAATATTCTGTAACTTTCAGGTTGAGTTCCTTGGCCCGTAATTCCAAGTTCAGTTTGTTACATTTTATGCTTCTTCAGGTTGGGGTGAGGGTTTGTCCACTTTTGTGTTCTTTGCCTTCTCTTGATAACTCAGTTGCTTTGGCATACAACATTTTGTAACTTTCTGGTTGGGTTCTCTTAATATCATATTACTATAATTTAATTATATCACACTGTGACCCCCATGCCTTAGCCACTACACCTTGGATCTAGCTTTGGGTCCACAGCCCTATAATTCCTAGGACGAGTCATGAGACCTCATCTGCATGGTTTAGGTCTGGACGACTCTTGTGAGCATCTACAATATTTTCAGTTCAGTCATGTCTGGTATTGTAGGAGAAATCCAATTTGGAATAGATGCCCCTCATTGCATGTTTCTTTTCACAATGTTATGGTTTTGACACTGTGTCCAATTGGCCTGTACCCCCCATGTTTTATATTTCATTTTATGCGAGCAAAGAGCATACATGTTCCAGAAGTAGTGAGGATCCCAATAGTGTGCTATACTATATCTCAATTTGTACACCTGTTTTTTGTGTGGATCTTACCCTCTCTGGCCCCTCCACCTTATCAGTGTGGCATTCTAGCTAAAGTGTGAGTGAAGGTGTGTTTTGGAAGTTTTACCTTTTTCTATCCCAAAAATGTATTTCCGATAACATTTACCTCATCTCATACTATCCCACCTTTCCTCCACACAATGGCCAGTGTTCAGATCTGATAATTTTGCCTGTCTCGAAAAAGTGAATAACAAGTAATAATGGGGGAACTTATATACAGGTCTAGTATAAAGGGCACAATGACGTAGGTGGAGAGAGTCACAAAATTAAAATTGCTATAGGTGATAAAGTGAGGTATAATTCATACCAATGCTTATATGAGCAGAGAAGAGAAACTTCTGTCAGGATAAAGCTAAAGTGAGAGTGGAGGTAAGTATTATTGGAAATACATTTTTGGTATAGGAAAATGTAAACTCTCATATCTCTAACATGAAACTTATACTTTCTAAAATACTTTTTAAAATGTTTCAGTGGCCTCATTCTATTCTGTAATTTCTAGTAAACCCACCTCTTAGATCTCACATCTAAGAATTTTTGGTGTTTTATTATTAGTATTTCAATAGTAGTAGCTTAGCTCTTCGATAACTATTAATGACAATATAACTTTTATTTATTTTATTTGAGAATAACCATTTAGTTTCTGAATAAATTGTTGGTTCTAAAACTGAAGCTATTAAATTTTTAAATATTTTCCCCAGGTACAACAGGTTAGTTTGAATCAGGTTTTGAATCAACAGGCCTATGTATTGTTTTATATAAAAACATCAAGGGAAATCAAGGTATGAATGTCTTATATATTAACATATGTACTCTTTTGAATTAACTTTTAGGTTAGGTGCAATATACATTTTTTCATTTTGTTAAAGAACTTATTTAATCTCTTTTTACTACAAATTCCACACATAATTAAAACCTTTTTCCACATTTTAAAAACATGTATTCCATATGGTATTAATATATGATCTTTAGCAGTATTATTAGTAGTAGTTACACTGTCAGTGAAAAATATTTTATATAAATGTTGTATATTCTGTCTCTAATGCTATCCTTTAAGAAGTAAATAGTTATTAAGAACTTATGAACAGAGCAAGGTAACTATGTATGTCAGAACATCATAATAATTTAAAAAATACTAAGTTAATGAAGACAACTTTGTATGACACACTGACTAGAAGCATTTGTTGTCTGATATCAATACACCAGAAAACTTAAAAACTTTAATGAGATTTTTTGGGTACTGTTGCTATCAATGATGTTTTTGGTCATAATTTATTTGGTATGTAGTTAATCTCAAATCAATGTACTGATCAAATAATGCAAAATAATTTTTATATATGTAACATTAATAGAAATATTTATTTTGAACATGACAACCAATAAGATTATCTAAGGTAAAAAGAGAATGAATGAAATAGGTTATTATATTAACTGCTGTGTTTGACAAACTTTTTGAGCATTTCATTATACTATCTAATCAAAATTTGAAGACTATGATCACTTGTTTTTCTGTTGTGTAATAGTAAATATTTTTCATCCAGAAGCCACACTCAGCTTGTTTATTGAATCACAGTTTATTAACAACTGTCGAGCATTCCACACATGGTAAGTTTTTGAAGTTCAAGATTTTCAAACTCTTAACAAAATAGTATCTTTGTAGTTTTTGTTTTCGTTTATCAATGTTTTCTAATTTTTTTATAACAATAATTAAAACTTATCTAAGAAAAAGAAATAAACCTTTTTTTAATATGTATGAATACTTAAACTGAAATATATTAACAAATTAAGAAAAACATTAAGTTTATCGTGCAGTTAATATGTTGTGTTATGAATAATGAACTTAGTGTCTGTCAGGCCAAGTATAGTCCAGTGGTTAGTTTGAGAATTAGCTCTCTCAATATAGGTTGGTCCCATTTATACTAATATTGTTGTAATACTATAACTTTTAATACAGTGTGTGTATCTTCACAAAATTTGGCAGACTTTTATTACATATTACAATTAATTTGTCAACAAAAAATCAGTTTTTCTAATGAAGTATTTTTATTAAAGATTTGTCCATGAATATATCGAGTATTTGTTTTGAATAGTCTATGTACAAAGTGATTTTCATGTTCAGATTAAAAATACTTTTCTCCATCTCAAATATCTCAAATTTGATTTCTGTATTCTCTAAAACCTCCTAAATACATTTCAAATGTTTGTTTTCACTAAAACTTTATATTTTATCTGTTATTTTCTCTATCCTAACTTTATACAATGTACATCAATTTGCCCCACCTTGTAACCACCAAAAAAAAATCTAAATAAATCTAGGTTACCCTTTTTTTATTTTTAGAATGACTTCTAATTGTAACATGAAGCTACAATCGTTTATCCTAAGCAGCTTTAAACTCATAACAGTGTACATCTATTTATAATTAAATTTTACTGATTTATTGCCCTCTGAACTGTGCCTAACAACTATTTGCACCATTATAAGTAATAAATCACTTGGGGAATGTGGAGGTCATGTAACACTATCAAATTACGTTACCCATGAGCTGCCTCTTGAAACATTTTTATTATAGTATTATTATCTATTTTACCTACTCTAACTGTAATTAACCTAAAGAGATCCCTATTTTTACATTTTAGTTACTTTGATAATAATAAATAAAGAATAAACATAAAAAAACAAGAAATAAAGTACTTACCTGAATCTTATTTTTATCTTGCTGTCAATTGTCGATGACACTTAACCCTTCTTTTTTATACTAATGGTAGTAATGCACCAAAGAACATAGACTAATAATATGAAAAAAGTACACAATTTCCCCTAACTCTCACAATTTTTCTGGCTTTCTAACTATGCAACAAGAGCTGTTACAAATTCATCCAAGCAAGTCATTATCATTCCTGTGGGAACAAAGCTTGTACTAAATTGACAAATTTACAGCGACAGCAAAATTGACAAATCTCTGTTCAGAAAATAACGTTATACAATATGTCATTTGATTGATGAAAACCTTGACTTTCTATTGGTTATAGATAATATAGAATTAAATGTAAGAGAGAAATATTAACAAATCTCGAAAGAGGGATGTGACAGGTGGGTGTGGCAACAGGGGTCTGATTTTCTATTTGATAGCTCTGTAACAAAACAAAATTGGAGGCTATAAAAATTATGATTTGTCTGAGCAATGATGATTTTATAGTGAATAATTTACATTAATTTCATACTTATTTGAGGGGTGATGGATAAAATAGAGAAGATGCATAGAGAAAATATGTCACACTCGGGAAAATTCAGGAATTTTTAAAATATTACCATATAAAATTAAGAACTTAAAACTTATATACTATTAAAATATAGATTATGAGCTAGGATAATTTATGCTATACTAATTGGAATAACATAAATTAAAACTAGATTAATAAAATGTTGAATGTAAGTCACTAAAACTTCATGACATGCGGAGCAAAGGATGCCTGTCGCAATAGAGTTATAGATCTTTAGGTCTATTGTTTGTGTTCTGTTACCACCAAACAAAATAATTTATCCTCCAACGTTTGGGGCGGTGGATATTTTATAAGGGTGATGGCCAAATCCCACTATTTAGTCAGACAAGTGAAGCCCAGTAATTGACAGTTGGTGATGTTGACTAGCTACCTTTCCTCTAGTCATACCAGTTAATACCCTTTGAGTAGCTTTGCACAAATATCTGAAACCAAATTAATTTAATATTTGTCTTTCATATTGGAACTTTATACATTACAAGGATAAATAAAAACATAAGTGACTCTTCAGATTACTTGGCTGTTGTAGGAGCCATTGTTACAAATAATGAATATGATATTTTACATTTCAAACCAAGTATTCTACCCAATCTTTTGTGATAAAACACTCTCATGTTATATATTTATAATGCAATATGAGTAAGCTTTAATGTAGATGATGTATGTCATGCAAGAGTTAATGTTGATTTTTATATTAATAATGATATTGCATTACTATTTATTATTATGAATTTTGAAAATGTGACTAAACCTCTTTAGTTCAAATGTGTTGTTTTTTTACACAAACAGAATGTTTTACCTTTGTGGCTTCATCAGGGTTAACATACACAACTGTATGATAGTAAAATATTTGTTAACTTATGAAACTGCTTGTAATGTTCTATTTCTCGAGGCTGTCATAACGTGTGTCTAACAATGTATAAAATATTATTATTGTTTCAATAATTTATAATTTAACGAATATTATACTATCAGATAGTTGTGTATATTAACCATGATGAAGCTGCAAAGGGTAAAGGTTGGTTGAAATAAAAATATATTCTTTTATATTTATCTGAAGTGTAGAGTTTGTTTTTCTGAACTTTCACCTAAAATACATGATTTCTTATTGTATTATGTTCACAAAGTATTGAAAGTTTTATACTTTATGCATTTTCCAGATTATTTACTGAAGATTTTAAAACTTTTTAAAAAATATTTAGCAATTTTGAGGTAAAGTGGAAAAGTAAAAAAATATTAAAGAAGTATACAAAATTATATGTGTTCCCCATTCTGTAAGGGATATTCATATTATGTTTGAAGCCCATTTAATAGTTAAATGTTCTTATTCATGCATTAAATCATTATTTACTTCTAAACAATGAAGGAAATTTTATATTAATGACTGAAGATACTCAACAAATTGTTTGTTTTTTATGATTATGGAATATTTCTGATGATAAAATAAATACATTTTGAAACATTTGACCAGTTCATAATGATGTGTATTTCTATTAATCACTTTTTAATCTTAATGTTGAAGACTTGATAATACAAAAGTGAATTATGCTTACATTTTCTTAAAACTTCTGGAAATGTGCCCTTACCTTTTCCTCAATGCTGTACATCTCTTTCTCATTGCATTTTAAAAGTTTGATGCTAATGTTTTCTAATATTATTAGAAACCTTTACACTATAATAAATGTGCTTAAGTTGTAATCGTAATTTATAAGAAATCAGTTCCTGAGTTTATAAGTAAGCTGCCTGAGCTTGTAGTTTGGAACATTTTGCATTTGTAAAGTGTAATGGCTAATTTCAAAATTTAACTTATTGTTTCATGTAGTGTAGATTACTTTTATGAAGTATAAAACCAAAGTCTAAATTTGTGTGTATGTCATTAAAGTAACTCTAACTAATTTATTAAATTTCTGAACAATAAATTTTACTTGCTGGTTTCAAATGTAAATTACTTTAAATAGGAAACCACAATGTAATATTATTCAAATACATATATTTTAAATAGAAGAGTTTTATGTGTAAAGGCAGAATTTTTAAAAATTTGCAATTAAAAATGGTACTATCAAACATCGTTTAGAGCTGTGAGGATGAAGCACCTCATGGTTGTTTTACGTTATAAAAGACAGAGAATAAAATGTGTAGCAGTACTAGAGTCAGTTTAAACTTTTATTTGTGTACAATAAATCTTTTGTTCTTTTATTTCATCACTATGACTGATATTTTCTTACATACAGATAAGTACACTCACCAGTCACCTAGTAACTGTTCATCAAAATCATCCCGATTTGTGAAACAGCTTAGTGGACCCACTCTGAGCAATACTTCATCAACTGCTTCTGTGAATGATATTACAAATGGAACAACCTATACCAAAGAACCACTGCCTTTAACTCCACAACAGAAGAGGGAAAAAGATTCAATTGGTAGCCAAAAGCTGAACATCAGAAAGGATAAGAATCCAGGGGCATCAGATAGCAAACTTATTTCTCAAAAGATGACTGGATTAGTGCCTCATGCTGAAAACTCTTCTCAGTCTTTTGATAATGAGAAAAGTTGTGAAAACAGAAATAAACAAACAAAAATTCACAGCATTACTTCAAACTTTCCATCCAAATTTATTTCCAGTATTGAAAAAACACAAACACTTCCTGAAGACAAACTTCCTATAGAAAAAGAACGAAATAATGATGGGGTAAACTTTAATAAAAATAACTTTGAGTCAGAGATTTTGACACATAAGCCAGATTATCTACATACAGAGTCTTCCATTGGGGTGAAAGCTACATCATTATTGCACGTATCAAATGGTGGCCTCTATTCACCACCATTGACCTCTGGTTCAACCACAAACTGGGATGTTACAAATCAGCAGGATTTTTTACACAGATCAAAAGGAAATAGAGTAGTCACGGTTTGGAAAGATACCCTAAATGAATTGGAAACTTTAGCTGACAAACCAAGTGCTAATAACTGTGTGTCAGAAAAAGGAAAACTTGACAGTGGTCAGTTCTCCATTAGTGACTTGCCAAATGAAAATAAGGCCAATGTGAATTTCCACCACCAAACAGCTGAATCAAATTATCCCATCTCCATAAAGGATGTGAAAACCCTGGCTCAACACAACAATGAAAAAAGTAAAGAACTGTGTTTGAGGCTACTTACTCAAGATTTGAACGACAAACAACAGGATAAAGAGAAAGACAAAATTGGGGAATTTGAAAGTGTATGTAAAAGAAAATCTGAATCTAAAGGCAAATGTGAGCTTTATCATAGTTACATTAGTAAACATTGTGAGAATGACTTTCCAACATGTAGTAAAGAAGATACTCACTTATTGCATAAGAAGCATAAGAACAAGTGCTGCTTAGATTCAGAAGATATACATGGGTATCAGCAGGATGTTGACAGAAAACAAACAAATAAAATAAGCTACCACATTTTCACTGAACAGAGTGAACAAAGTAGTGAGGATAACAACTTCACCTGTTTGCATAGAGAGCAAAAAGTCAAAATATTTAGCAATGTTGATCTTTCTCAAAATGACAGAAATTTGCAAAGTGAAAGTAAATTGAGTCAATTTCCATTAACTGAAACATCTGAAAGACATATGAAACTAAACAGTAATCAGAACTTCCTAAAACAATCAAGCATCTACAATCATGAATGCACTGAATCTAACCATAGTCAAGAAAAGACTGATACAGAATACAGAATGTATTATACCTGTTTGAGCAAAAACCAACAGAATTATTGTAATATGCATAAAGAGTACCTGAAACAAGACAGTAGTACAAGTGACACTACAGCTTGTATTAAAACAACTGAAAGACGTAATGGGAGAAACCAGTCTCAAACAAACTCTAGTGAGAGTAATAATAGAACTAGAATTGAAACAGTTGATAAAAGTGAAAGTGGTTACAAGAAGAGTCAGTCTAGAGTAGATTCTAGTGACAATGAAAGTAATACCAATAATAAACCATCTGAAAAACACCAAAGTAATAAAATAGAAGCTAAAGTACACACTTATGACAGTGAGGGCAGTGAAAGAAGTCACAGCAACATCAGGAGGAAACAATCAAAGGAAGATTCTGTTACCACTGCTAGTAGTGGCAACGGAATTGATGAAAGATTTAGTAATAAACAAGGAAAAGTTAAGCAGTTTAGAATAAAATCTAGTGACATTAAAACAGGTGATAGTTATGAGGAACAGTGTATTGATGAAACTAAAGAAACTTTAGAAAAAGAAAAGAAAGAAACCATACAGTCTAATAACCAGAATGGTAAGTATAAAAATGACATTAAATTCAAAAATTAATAGAATGTTAGATTTAATTATTCTCAAGTTCTGAGGTGTTAAATTCATGAAAGTAATTAATTTGATAAAGTGAAAAATGTGATATTTTTTCTCTAGGCATTCCCTCTTCTCTAATGTATTCACCACCTCTTCAATAAGTACACCATTCACTTAAATTACTCATTATAAAATAGTCATCACTCAGGCAAAGCATAATTTTTATAGACTCCAATCTTGTTTGATTACAGCGCCATCAAATAGAAAATCAGACCCCTCTTGCCAAACTCACCTGTCACATCCCCTCTTTCAGGATTTGTTAACAGCTCTCTCTTACATTTAATTCTATAACCAATAGAAAGCCAAGGTTTTCATCTATCAAATGATGTATTGTATAACTTTATTTTCTGAACAGAGAATTTTAAATTTCTCTTTTAGTACAAACTTTGTTCCCACGAGAAAGATATCAACTAGCTTGGATGAATTTGTAACAGCTCTTGTTGCATAATTAGAAAGCCAGGAAAATTGTGATAGTACTGGGACATTGTCCACTTTTTGCATGTTATTAGTCTTTGTTCTTTGGTGCATTATTTAATTAAATAAAAGTTATTTAGTGCACTACTACCATTAGTATAAAAAAGTAGGGTTAATTGTCATCGACAGTCAATGGCAAAAAAAAGGTCCAGGTAAATACTTTATTTCTTGTTTTTCATGTGTATTCTTTATTTGTTAATAGTAAAATAACTAAAATGTAAAAATATGAATCTCTTTAGGTTAGTTAAGGTTAGAGTAGATAAAATAAATAATAATAATATAAAAAACTTTCACCAGACATACACTTGAGTAGCTCGGAGTAGCTTGTGGGTAATGTAGTTCATTAGCGTAACGTGAGCTCCACATTCCCCAAGTGATTTACAACTTATAATGACACAAACAGTAGTTAGACACAGTTCAAAGGGCAATAAGACAATAAAATTTAAGTATAAATAGATGTATACTGTTATGAGTTTATAGCTACTTAGGATAAACAAATGTGGTTTCAGGTTACAATTTAAATCCATTCTAGAAAGAAAAAAGGATAATTTAGATTTATTTTGATTTTGTTTCATGGTTATCAGATTAGTCAAATTGACCAACCTTGTATAGAGTTAGGGTACAGAAAATATAAGATAAAATATAAAGTTTTACTGAAAACAAATGTTTGAAATACATGTAGGAGGTTTTATAAATCATGCAGATGAATAAAAGTATTTTTAATTTTAACATGAAAATCACTTTGCACTTGGACTAGTAAAAAAAAAGGACTTGATATATTCACAGTCAAATGTTTTCTAGTTTATTATAAATACTTCACTAAATGATCTGATTTTTTGTATGTGAAATACTTGTAATGTTTATTGAAAGTCTGACAAATTTTGTGAAGATTCACTTACTATTTTAAAAGTTAGTAGTATCAGAAGTATAATAACTTTAAAAGAGTACAAAATGGTCATGCGGTCAGACAATTCAATCAAGCCCATGTAGAGAGAGTTAAACAACAAACTATTTGATTGGTTTGAAAAGGGGTATCCGGGTTTAGCATACTTCTTTGCTAGGTTAGTTGTGTGTTTTCACTTAGGCAAATTTAGGAATCCTCTTTAATATTTTTTTTGTATAAGGGTTCATATCCCTTTCTTTTAGAATCATTCAGTTTTTCTGCATGGTCTTGTTCTTTTACGTGTTATTGTGTTATTTCAGCACATTGGTATTACATACTTTTATGTGTCTATAATGCTCTGAATTATTACTTTTTTTTTGGTCTTCAATGGGTTGGAGCCAACATTCACAAGGGATGTTGTATGTGGTGTTTATGTGGTTTGATATATACTAATTGTGGTGTGTCTTCTGAATAATGTTCTAACATTATGCTCTTTGTATATCCCCTGTATATTTTTAGAGATATAACATAAGGAAATATAACTTTATCTTCAGTTTTCTTCCTGCCTAATCTTCATGTTTATGTTCTTTATCAAATGTGGATATCTACTGTTAAGCAGGATTATAGTTTTGTGTTTTTCTTTATTACAAGTCTTATTCATTCTGAAGTGTAGACAGTTTTTGAAGTCCATCTTTACAGTGTTGGATTAGTTTGATCAGGGTATCACCAGTACCTGTGGTTTTCCTGTATAGTATATGAGTTACGTGTGTTGCTAGCTATTACATCTATAAATAGGAATTTGTTATCTTCTATTTCTATGATGAATTGTATCATTGAATGCTATCTAATAAGGTGGTTCATGAATTTTACAGCTTTGTGTAGATTTTGTAATTCATAAATAAAATAATAACAACAACACAAAAAACCATAGATTGTAATCTCCACTGTAATGCAATTTTAACAGAAAAATTGCCTTCACGAACGTAGATACAACACAGTAATAATTCTGACAGCAGGCAAAAGTAGTACCACTATAATCATGAACAAACTGGAATATACCATCAAGCTCTAAACTCTAGTTGGAGATGACCATTACAAAATCAAGTTTAACCTAACACCTCAAGAAATACAAAAAAGAACTTAAAATGGAAACAATCAAAAAACTAACAGTACAACCACAGTACTATCACATACATCTATGGTCTGTGTAAGATTTACAAACAAGGTCACCCTTTCCACCTCATAGTCGACACCTCATAACTAGATACCTGATAGATATCACCATTAACTGGTAAAACATCCTCACATGCTAATAACTTAATCCACTTTGTAGAGCATATAAGAACAACAACAATAACCTCAAATAATCAAATGTATAAACTCTATATTTGTATCTCAAAGGGTAATACATTTGTTCTTATTGCAAATTTTCTTCTGTAGAGGCATTATACTAAAATGGTCAGTCCTGCTACTCACTGGTAAAGAGTGTCTCAAGAGTTGGTGGTGGGGGCTGCTGGCTTGTTTACCTTCTCTGTAGGCAAATAATCTCATATGACACTAGATAAATGTTTATGAAATCTGTACATTAGTCAATGTGATGATAATAAGGTAAACAAACATAATGAACAATACTTATAGTCAAACATAGTGATATTATATTTAGTTCAATGACAACAATTATTTTTTCTCATGAAACAAGATAACATTAAAAGAGTAAAATATAGCTGCTTGGACTGAAATTTTTAGTGTATGTTGCAACAGTATCATCAAGATAAATGAACACATGTCCCATTGTACAGGCTTGTATGTGCTAGTACCTGTCCTGGACAGTGAGACATCTTATTAATGTTTACCCCAGCACATTCACTTATTTTTCACATCAGTGAGAATGTGAATTTTTGTTTAGTAATATAGGTCTATGAAAAAGAAAGAAATTAATATATATTAGCAATTAATTAAACACTTAATTTGGTAATGCTTTTTTTTGTCACATTGAGAAGTTTTATTTACTGTTTACGTTAAACTACTCACACAAGATAAGATTTAAGTAACAAACCAGTAGTGTAAAGGCTAATAAATAGATTGATTCTCTATATCTTAGTGAATCGTTTGGAGAAAAACCTGAGTCAGCTTGGCCAGATCGTTTATGAAAGTACTAGATATAAGCAACAAGATTTGCAGAATGATGAGAGATGTGAGAAGGGAAAGGTGTGTATAATTGTTTAAAGATGTATATGTTGTGCATATATAACTGTTTTAAGATGTGCATGTTCTATGGGTATAATATGTTAAGATGAGTGTGTTGTGTTCATGATCTTTGGTAACAATTTCAATATCCAGTTGCCATGCTGCTAGATTTCCTCATCACATATAACTGTACAAGTTAAAGACCAGATCTTCTTGTTGTGACTCTGATGAAGTTCAATGATTTACAAATAAAAATGGCATTCATATTTACTCCTTGAATTACAGTACAAGGCTTTCTGGTTGTAAAAGCATGCAAGGCAAAGCTTTTAGTGTTTTAACCCTTCTGCAATGGGTACCCCTCTAAATCCCTTTCTATGCCAGTCACTGAGTTTCATTCAAAATTTAATTAAACAACTTTACCAACAATGTACATTAGTGAAATTAACATTATAATGTATGTTATAATTCAAAGTTTTATGTTATCTAACTTTTAATTCCTTTGTTTCAAAAGAAACCTTTAAAAAAATACTTAAACTTCAGTTTTCTTGTCACATGACCCACAAGCTATGAAATATCTTGCCTTTTGCAGAAAACCCCAGTCCTGTAGATATATGTATAGACAATAAGTATGTTTACTTGACCTGTTGACACTTATGTTCCAAAGTTTTTTGACTGAGTTCCATTGTCACCAGAGATACGTTTTTCCAACCCCTAACAGGTACTATGTCCATCTTCTGTACATAGCCTTAGGATTTACAAGCTACATGTACTTATTTGATGCATGTGTTTATAATCATTTGAAAGAGCTCATTTTACACTATAATCCAACAATGGTTATTTTGAAATTGATGCTCAGTTGTCGATGCACTGATTATTGTTGGCTGTTTTTTCCACCATAGCACTTACAGTTGTTTCTTACCTAAATATGTTATATTTAGAGAGAAAGTTAAATTGCATTTAGGTTTTACTTTTATATCTTAGTTAATTATGTACCATTTATATTTTAAAATGCATAATTGAAAGTTTTAAACATTTCCTAAATTTACTTCACACATTGCCCTATTTCTCAAGGGTTATGATTTGTGCAATTGTAAGACAATTTTGCCGAAGGCTTGCACATCTCTGTTGAATGTACTGTAATACTCCCCGAGAGCACCGTTGACTTCTGTTGGTATGAATAATAAATGGTAAAGCATGGGAAAGAAAAATAAAACATTAAGAATTAAGTATGTGTGAAAAGGAAAATACCTGAAATTACAAATATCATCAAAAGAAGTTTTTTTTTACCATATTCTGCAAAATATTATAAAGTATGTACATTTTTTATTTCATAATTTTAAACATTTCATTGCACTGTATGTTGATGATAATAGCTACTGTTAAGATATGTAGAGAAAATAAAATATAAACATTTACCTTAAAAAACTTTTGATATTCATTTAGGAGGTTCTTGATGTTATACAAATATAACTTAAAAACTGTGAGATGAAGAATAGTATTTTTGTACGTAAAACATAAATCACCTTGCACTCAAACTTTTCGGAATCTGAGTGCAAATATATAGATAACATATTTTTAGTACAAAGACTTAAATTAAAATAATATCATTCTTTGTGTACAAGATACTTATAATCTTTAACAAAATCTTTTCATTTTTTGTGAGGATACGTTAAGAAATCTCAGAGTTACTCTATGTATTGTTGCACAAGTTTCTTTCCCCAGTCAGGCTCCTACAAATTGCAGGAGACCATTGCAAAAGGGTTAAAGAAGTAGATATTTGTAATGTTGAACTGTGAGTAAGAGTGTGGCATCCTATTCTATAATGTTGGGTAGGATGGGAGACAGATAAGCCCGACTGAGAAATGAAATTAAAAATACCCAGACTGATGACATATTGAATAAGAGCAAGAATAGATGTCGCAGTCCCAAAAGGGAAGCCTGACTGGTTGTATCTCAAAGTAGAATGAGGATGTGATGGTCTAACAAATAATGAGATGTTGCCAGCAGTAACCAGTCATTCGTGGAATGGTGTGTATGTGCACAGTATGATGGAATGAAGGGGATGAGAAAAAAAACAAACTTGTACAATATGGCAGAACCCATGTGAAGCCTATGCGAAACTGAAGGGAAAAACTTGGAACTGCAGTACCTGACCCTTGTGCACCATAAATGCCGAAAGTGGTGGGAGAATCTAAACATTGATATAAACAAGGAAGATCGATGACTGGACACCAATCTCTTGCAATAATTGCCGTGTTCTTGGGTTATTTAAGTGACAGCTGTTTACCTTTCTTTACTGTCTCCAATCAGCAACTAATAGCCAATTTTAAGGTAGCTGGCTTCTTTCTTGCTGGAATCATGCCTTCCCTTGCTTTTCCATTACTTCTCCTTCTCCCATTGTATGGATGGTTCTTTCTCTTCTGGGAATGTCGACATCACTCGAATCCTTTGTGCCTCTGGGACAAGAACACAAGTGATCCTTTTATTGGTCTTTAAGCAATCAAGGATCATACACATCTATTTACTGGTTTTCCCAGTTTCCTCAGTCAGGATTTTTCTTTGATCTCGAGGGGTTCTTAAGTTGGGACACTACTACTATTTTGGTTCTTCTACTGCCACCTTGTCCAGAGTTTCATTCTCTTCACAAATACCTTGCTTCAGGAATGGAGTGCATATACCAACAGTCAGTTTCCAGATTCTATGCATGGATGACGAAGGTTCCCTACACAATGTTTTCATCCTTCTTGCTCTTCAACTGGCAACACCTCATGGTCTAGGCTTCTTAAGGGGTAAATTGTTGGGTATCACTCTGGTGTCTTATATTTCTCATCAAAGAGGCATGTGGTCTAGGGCTCCTTATTTTCGAAATTTGGACCTCCTTTTTCGGGACTAGTTTTATCTTATCATCCTTCTAGCTTCCCATGTTCCATGGGTGATGTCTGTGGTAGCAGGTCCATTGTCTCAATCCACACTGATTCTCATGACAGAATATATGTTGTGTCACAAGTTTCTGTTGGATTGGCTCCATTTTATTGCATCTCTAATTGATGGGTTGCCCTCTAATTGAATCACCTAACTACTGGCAATTTGGTCTCCAGTACCTCATCTTTGGGCTTTGGCAATAGCTGCTTTACATCTGGAGAGGATAGGATTGCCTCTCTTAACCTTTTATCCACTTCATATGTTACCTAGGATAAGAAATATGATTTGTTCCAACCCATTGTCAAATCCTGTCGATAGCACCAGATTGACTGCTACACCCAGGTTTCTGCTTCTGCAGTCCCTTCTGGTGTGTCCAATTCTTCCACTTATTTTTAGGTTCTTGCTGTGGAGACAGACATGATCTGTTATGGTACGCCTGATTAACCAGAAGCTCAAACTTCTGGCATAGAGATTATGCTGTCTTTCATACTGCATTGGGGTTTAATTTCTAAGGTTGAAATGTATCTGTCTTAGTTTCTACTTAGTCCAAAAGACACTTTATCAATGGTAATGACATGCATATCAACAATGTTGTATTGAGAGGAGGTTAAACCCTTTTCAATGTGTGGTGTCAACCATAGCTCGTTTTTTTTATTTGGCTCTTTGGCAGAAGTTTTTGTTTCTTCCACAATTGCCACTATTTATGCCAGCTTTATCAACTATCATTCAGTTATCACGACTACATATTTTTTTTAATCCCTGGTATTATCTAGAGTCCTTACATCATTTTGGGTAACTGGTCCCAAATTATCATTCCAGTTACCTACCAGGTAGCCTACGGTTATGTGTTCTTTCTCTACACCTGTTTGTGACCTGACTCTTATAATCCATGTATCCCCTTTACCTGCAGGTTTATTTTTTGTGGCTGCTGACCTATGAACATCACTGGTTGAAGTGATTTGCATTGTTTGCTCACAGACCATTTTCTCATTCTCTCCGCATTCTCAGACCAGTTCTTTTTACCCAGCACTCTGTCTGACGGGAAATGGGTTCAGTCTTTTTTTTTCCAATTCATCTACTCACTCTTTCTCTCTATGTCCAATGAAATTTTGATCTTTGTCATGTTCAGTGAGGGTCTTGAAGGTTTTTGTTGCCTGCATTTATATTTTTAGAGGTACTAGACAACACTTTTTATCTGGGGCTCTTTTTGAAGGTGAGGTATCTTCTGTGAGTCACATCTCTTTAGCAGCCTGGTTGAATTGCCTGCTGGAGGTCATTGTGCAGACTGGTATGTGGACCTCCCCTAATACCTTTATCTCACAATGCTTGCCTGATCTGGCAGTACCTTCATTGGAGGATTTTTGCCTACTCCTGTAGCAATCTTAATCATTTCTGCTAGATTATACAGAGGTGTGAGTATATTTATTTCTACCTTTCAAGGTCCCTTACCTTGTTTTCACAGGATCCCACTCTGTGGCAAGTGTTGCCCAGACAGGTCTGCTTTTATCAAAACAATTACACACTAGCAACCACTATTTCTCTATAATTACTAAAAGCTGCAACAGGCTTTGTAGAAATGAGGTGTTCCATAACACCACTTAGGAGCTCCCTAGGCGGTATTACCATACTATGCTGGATTGCCACTAATGGACGATCATGAGTAAAGCTAAAGGGGATCCTGCCTGACCCTGCTGATCTTTGGTTTGAATAAATCAGGGTCAGTTTGCTTTTAAAAATTTAGATAATTTGGTTCACTTATTGCACTATTTCCAAAATACTGTTCCTCAGGACTTCCGAACGTGCATTACCCCCCTCCCTCCAGATTCTACTAGTGGAGCTAGGGT